CAAGCTACCCAGGAGTTCCCCCCCTCCCCTTTGAAGGTTCAAGACACTGGCACGAGAAGCATCAGGGATAGGAATTGGGTGTGTGGATGGACAGCATTAAAATGGCAAACACAGGAAACAGTTTGGTTCTTTTTCCCTCCTAAGCCTTTGTCTGAGAAATGGGGTTATGGCAAGAACTGCTCAGAGGAATTGGTGAACGCAAGAACATCAAGAAGACTTAGTGTGGGTACATGTGTGGCTAAAAAGGATATTAGACTTTAGCGCCTGATCTTGGGCAGAAGAGGAAGAGAAGCAATCGCGCCTTTTCCAGCAGACAGGCATCCAGGTTGGGGGGGAGGGGAGGGGAGAGCAGGCAGGCAGCCCAGAGGAAAGAGAGGTGAATAAAAGGGTGCTCAAAGAACTCCTCCCCATTCATTGCATTAAAAAAGAAAATCTTTTCGCAGCTTTCTGGATTTCCATTTTTTACCATCTTACTGCAAAGTTGGGGCTCAGAACGTTCCTAAGAGGTCGTGCTGACCAGGCAGCTGCGACTGAGAAAAAGGGGTGGTGGTGGACTCCGTGCTTAGGACAGGAGGGTGGCTGGCATGTTGGGGAGGAAGGGTTGCACGGCGGAGGCAAAGACTTTCCACTCCGTGCCATGCATGCTCCCCGCCCCCCAATCTGTACCCCCCTCCCCCAGCTAAGGGTGGGTAGACCTGGCAGAAGGCTCGTCCCAGGCACTGGGGGTGTGCGTGGGGGGCTCGTTTGGCTGGGGGGGGGGAGCGGGAGGAAGGGATTAGTTCCAGGGATGGGAGCAGCTCTGTTCTTGCTGGGGGCGGGGTGGAGGGAGATGCCATCAGCGGCACAGGCTCCGGGGGCCAGGCTGGCTGCTGGCCTCGGCGGGCTCACGGGGCGGGGAAGGGAGGTCGGGCTGCAGGAGGAGGCGCCTGGACCCCGGAGCAGAGCCCGGGTAGCGGTCCGCGCCGGGGCGGGCGTTCCGTCAGCACTAGAGTATGCAAAGGAGCGTGTGCGGCTGGAGGGCTGGCAGTGGGAACAACAATGCACCCGCGGGGCCGGTTCGGCGGGAGCGGGGCCGGGCCGCGGGGTCGGAGCGCGGCGGCCGCCGGGGCTTACCTTGACTCGGCCTCGAGGCGCGCGCGGGGCCGGCGTGCTCGGGGGCCGGGCGGCGGCGGCGGCGGCGGGCGGATGGCGGCGGCACGGCGGTGGCGGCGGCGAGGGCGCGCCCGGGGCCTCGTCGCGCTCTGGCTCGGCGGGCTCCGGCTCGCGCCGCGGCCGCGGCTGCTGCCGGGGGGCGCGGCGGGCGCAGCAGAGCGGCGGGCGGCGGTGGCGGCGCGAGCGGCTCCCTCCAGTCCCTGCGCGGGCGGCGGCGGCAGCGTCGTCGAGCGGTGCAGACAAAGGAGGGGCGGAGGGAGGAGACGGAGGGTGTGGGAGAGGCGGCTTCACCGGCGCGGGCAGGCGGGCGGCGGCGGCCGCGCTCCTTTCGCTCCTCAGCAGCGGGGACCGAGAGAGGGAGCTGTGTCTGAGGAGACGCCAAAATCCCCCTTAGCGCTGCCCGCGGGAGGGGGAGGGGGCACAAGATGGCGGCGGCCGGGGGGGGGGGGGGGGGGGGTTCAGCTCATGGATCCCGGCGGGCGGCGGAGGGGAGACCGGGCCGGTGGAGGCGGCGGCGGCAACGGGCGGGGGAGGGGGCTGATCCCGCGTCTCCCCTCAGCAGACAATACAAGCGCCTCGGAGCGAGTCCCCGAACCTGCCCTAGCCAAAATGGCGGCCGAGAAAGAGCGGAAGTGACGTAAATACCTCATTAGCATAAGAGGACTCATTGTCCAGCTAAGTAGGGGGGGTAGTGGGGGACAGTACCCCTTCCCCCCATGTCCCCCAGGGACAGCTCTCTCACTGCCACCTGTGCTCGCACCTAACTTTTTTGGGGGGAGGGTGGTCCCAGCACCCCCACCTAAGGGAAATTATATAATCCCCACAGAGGGGGAGCTCTCGCGAGAACCAAGAGGATTTTTGCCATTGACCCACTAGGAGGCGCCGCGGATAATGGCCGCAGTGCGCTTCCAGGGCCCCGTGTGCACGGCGGGCGCCTTCCTCTGGCCGCAGCGCCGGCGGCGGAGGCACCAGCAGCGGGCCGCAGCACGCCCTGCACTCAGTCAGGTGGCCGTGCTGGGGATCCCTGCGCGGGCCCAGCTGGGCCTGGACTACATCTGGCGGGAGGGGGCGTGCGGGCAGCCCAGCGGCTCCACGTGCTGGGAGGCCTGCGCTCTCACCCGCCGGGCAGCAGCGGGAAGGGCAGGGACACCCGGCCGGTTGTGCGCGATGCCTCCTGACTTATATGAGGTGTGAGGGCCTCGTGCTTCACACACCGACTGGAGATAAGCCACGAGCTCATGGAGCCCTGGTTCCTTCCCGGTGGGGCGGGTTACTTAGTGCACAGAGGCTGACAGTCTTCCAGGTTGGTGATGGGCTCTTCTCTTTGGCCTGAAGAAAACAAATGGGAACCCTAGCGTGTGGGGCCACCGGACTCGTAAAGCCGAAAGATGAGAAATGATGTTGCCGATGGGCCTCCACAAGATGCTCAAAAACTACACTTCAACTGTGGTCCCAGGGACACTTCTAGTGGTACCACAATCTGGACAGCACAAGCTAGCACATGGACAGTCTGTGCAAACTTAGGTCAATCCCAACCAACACATTACCTCGTTTCTGAATCCACCTTTTGGAGTAGAGTGCATCTGAGAGTATGTCACTAGCTAAACATACTGAAGAGTCATTAGCACCATCAGGAAGGATTAACCAAGCCTGTTTTCTTAAAGTGTGTGCTCTGTAAATAACTGATCTTTGGCTGTTTCTCTAAATTTCAAGTTAAAATAGTTTCAAATCATACTTAACATCCCCAAAGATTCGGATGTAATTGAAAGTAGTACTAGTTGTGGTTACAAATAGCTCAGTGAAGACTTCAATTAGCAGGTTTAAACAAGCCATTTCATCCAACACAGAATTTCATTAATTTCTGAAAGCCAAATCAGTATTTCAAGGGGAAACAAGAACTGGAGAAGTTAAAAAAAGAGGGGGGGTGGTGGTGGCACCAAAGCATTTTAGAGAAACAAAGATGAAGAATCTAATTACATGTTACAGAAGACAGGCAAAAGCAACTATGAAATAAGCAAAATTTATCACAAGTTCAGTTGTCCTTAGATATACTTAGATTTCATAGAGTGGTAATACAAATAAATACAAAGGGAAAACATCTGGATTTCATCCTTGACCTAATTTAAAAATTAAAGAGAGATGCTAGGTTCACATATAAATGTTTTAAGATTTTTAGTGCTTAAATCATTAGATTTACTAAAAAAATACCATCTAAATAGTTCAGATTCTTTTCTAAATAACTGCTACATGATGAATGTCTCGCTGTTCAAATGCTTTCTCTACTATCAATTCCAGTAGTTACAGTGTTGTGACTGGAATTAAGAATCAAAAAGATTAAAAAGGCAAAAGATAGCTATCTACTCTCCTGGGGTTTGAGAAGGCAATACTTATATAGTGAGTTCTCTGAGGTAGGTACTTAATCTCTGCTCCACATACTCGACAATAAAAACTTTGGGTTTAGATGAAGAAGAGGAGAATCTAAACACTCAACAACCAAAAAAGGGTATTATATTTCTATTACGTTAGGTAATTCTACATCAAACAGTGATGAATTTTCTAGTTACTATTAATGATGAAAGAAGTCATTTCCCCCAGGAAGGTGGGTCCCTGGTGTGCTGGCTGGCTACACAGCTCTGTAAAAGGGAAACAGAATAGTAGAGGTCCTTATTGGAAAGTGTCCTATGGATTCAACTATGGGAGCAGGTAATGTTCAAAATGACACCAAAGGTTTTATAGTCTGGTATTAATTTCTGGTAGGATCTGTTAGAAATGCAAGGGAAAAAGCAGATTTTAAATTTCTTTAGGATCCAAATTAAGCCAGGAAAATTTAATTAAGAATACTGTTCAATAAATACGCTTATTAAATAACTTAGAGGGGTCTCTTCCTTTTACTTGCAAAGGACAATCAACTTGATCTTAAGCTTATTTGCTCAAAGTATGCCTTCCCCCAAATTTAAAAGGTACTATGAGTTCCATAAGCTATGCTACAGTCAGAAATTTATCTTTTTTTTTTTTTTTTGAAACACTTAGAGAAGGTAGGCAAACAGAACACTTGTGCTGGCTTTCATGAACAGCTTAAACTTAAGGAGCATTTTAACCAGCGGAACACTTACAGCTTAGCAAGAGGTTTAAAAATTACTATAGCAACTAAGTCTCGAAGTCATCAAAATACTGATGCCTTAATGTCATCAGTATTTTTTTCTTACTGATAGAAGTTATTGCTCAGGATAGAAAAAATAGTAGCTATGCAATCAAGAGATGTCAAGTTTCCAATTCACAGTATGTTAAACAGACTTGCTGTGACAGATGAAATGCTTCATCAATTCAAGAGCTACAAACAGCCCAACTCTAAATTCATGACCTAAACATATTTTATCTAGTTTAAGAAATCTGAGATACATTTTTGAAGAAGGGGCAGAGGTGTCTACTTATTCATTAATACAGAAATAGCCATATATATTTCATGAATATAATTAACATTTTTCTTGCTACTGACATCTATTACAAAGAGCTATGAGTCCAGTTCTTTATATACTTCAAAATCTTCCCCATGTACAAATTCTGCACATATTCTAATGAAAGCAGCAATATTTTCTGAAAAACAAAAAAACAAAACAAAACAAAAACCCCATGTACATTTATTTACAAGTCTTAATATAGCAAAATCAAAATGAAAATTGAGAACACTGCTCATTTTTCTAATTTCATTTGACAGACAAAATGGAGTTTCCTCAGAAAAAAGATTTGTATGAAATTTACCTTACCTTATGATTTATGCTCTAAGAGTACATTTTATAAAAATCAGCAACCAGGCTTCTTTTATGTTTAAATGAAATCAACATGATAAGTATAATGAGTAACTTTCTTTTATGTAGTAGCAAAGAGGGTCAATAATCCTTTCAAGAAAGAGACTATTTCATTTCCTCCCAACTTGGATTCACCGTAAACACGATCCACAAATGATATTGGAACCTGGTTGAAAAAACACATGTTAAGTTGGTCTTCAAAAATATTAAAAAGGAAGTTAGCAAGCATACACCAATACAGTACAAACAAGCTCTGTCTTATGACAGCCCTTCAAGTAAGTTCAGAAGTTATGTGTTACATATAGTTAAGTTGTTATAGCAACTGGACGCCCAAATCTTTAAACATTTCATTACCTAAAAAAAGGTCAAATGAACCAAATCTAAAACCATTCGAAAAGCAATGATCCTGAATATTAAGCTGTTGACCTGTTTCAACCAGAATGTCAAGAAAAAAATTTATACTCCAAAGTAAAAGCCTTTCACTAAATTTTTTCAGTAGTCCATTCAATTTATCTGTTACTATGTTTTAGTGTTAAATGAAAAATCTTGACACTTCCATGGAGACATGGCATTCTAATTATTTTCTTGCTATGAGGAGGAACACCAGTGTTAAAGGAGGAGAGCCTTTCCTAAGAGCTCAACAGCCTGCTGTATGTATTACTGACCGCCTTCCGCCCCATTAACTCCTGTCCTCTTCATGGAAAATGGCAAACGGATTCATCATTAGAGTGGTTCTTGGCTATGGAAAGAGGAAAAGGAGCAAACACACTCATCCCACAGTGCTGAGTGGTCAGAAGAAAGGGCAAGATGCAGAACCTACCAGTAACTTTTAATTCTTTAAAAGTAAATGATGCCTTCTATTAATGATTTAAATCCTGGTAGGGTCAACGTAGTTATTTCGAAAGTGAATTTTTACCCTTTAGTGCATGGACGTTCCAAACAACCAGAAGCCTCCCACATTTATTTAGTAGTTGTGCAACTTAAACTTTTTATTATAGTCTAAACCTACTGTTTCCTTACAAGGGATACGGCATTCTATTTACCAGCAGTTTGCCTACCTCGCCAATAGTATAATTCAACTGTCTTGCCCGAACAATCATCTCCATCTGGAACACATAGCCTTTAGAAACACATTTTTCTATTAATTTCTGTAGAACTTCTTTTCGGTATAACCTGTGAGAAAGTAAAATACATATGAACACCTAGATAAATACACTTGCTACATGTACCCTTTATGAAAGTCCACTGGTATTTATAAAACCTACAACTTTTCACTAGCTGTTTGCATGCAGAAAAACTGTCACAGCTTATGATTAGGATACACTTGTCCTGAACGGGAATGGTCATGCAATCTTTGGTAAATAATTTAGAATAATTTTGAAAATGAATTCTTAGTATCTTTTAGGGAATTATTTCCTTACCATACTACCACAAATTATAAAAATAGGATAAAGCGAGTCATCTGAAGTAGAACCACCATTTTAAGCTTTTAAATTTTCTTAAAATTAAAGTTGAATGAAGAAAAACCATTCCAAATATTCCAACAATAGAGTTGACAGACGATGATTAATCAATATAAAGTAGATGACAAGAGCAAACCCAGTAATTAACAAGTGTTTCCTCATAAATGTCTGAGCAGCTTCTATTTCCCAAGATGTACTAAATAAATTCCCCGAGATAAACACAGTCCCTTTAGGGGACTTAACGGGGAACTCCTGAAGAAAGTGACTGGGTTCATCCACAGGACTTCCCAGCTCCTGTCTCTTACTTTGGGAATCTGATGTGCTCCATGTTTGGCCTGTGCATCTGCCCACTGCAGGTCTCTAACTGTGACCTCAATTGGTGATAGCTGTATCTTCACGATGGCCTCAATCCTGCAATGCCTAGATTCCTGTCTTAACTTTGTGTGTGAATTCTGACAAAGGACCAAAGAATTAACATTATTTAATGGAAAAAAGCAAATGCCAAGTAATACATAGTCATACAAAACAGTTCATCTTCTATAGCAAGACTAAAATTAAAAATATCACCCGCCAAAACCAACAAAAATTACCCTTCCCCCGACCTGGAAGAAGGCTTTGTTCTAATTAAATAATATTTTTTTTAATTAAAAATACAGAGAGCAAGGTAACTGCAAACACCCTAACCATTAATTATTTTAAGTTTTTCTGTGGACAGAGCAACAATATTCATATGAATTGCAGAAAGTTGCTGGAAGAAGTTCTGTTCTTTGGAGCCTGTGATCACCAATGATAGACAGCAATGTTCTGAATAAGAAGTGGATTAAGCAGCCACCTTGGCTCCCTAAGGCCCCCACTAGGGGCTGAGCACCAGTGTGAATATTAACAAGCACACTAACCTAAGCCCTACCTTTGATGCCCCTTAGAAAGTACATTTCCCTTAAGAAGATGCTCAGGACTTGGGGCGCCTAGGTGGCTCAGTGGGTTAAGCCTCTGCCTTCTCGGCTCAGGTCATGATCCCAGGGTCCTGGGATCAAGCCCCGCATTGGGCTCTCTCATCAGTGGGGAGCCTGCTTCCCCCCCCACCTCTCTGCCTGTCTCTCCGCCTACCTGTGAGCTCTGTCAAATAAATAAATAAAATCTTTAAAAAAAAAAAAAATGCTCAGGCCTCATTAGCAATTTCTTAAAGATCTTACTTATTTATTTATCAGAGAGAGAGCACGAGCAGGCAGAGTGGCAGCCAGAGGCAGAGGGAAAAGCAGGTTCCCCACTGAGCAAGGAGCCCAAGGTGGACTCAATCCCAGAACCCCAGGATCATGACCTGAGCCTAAGGTAGTGGCTTAATTGACTGAACCACACAGGCGTTCCTCATTAGCAACTTTTAAGGAATTTCAGTCTATCTTTGTATGTTCTGGAACAAAAATGTAGTAGAAATTAAAAGCATTTCTTAAAAAGAAGTCATTGTATACTAAGAAATTCAGATAAGAAGTTGTTAATAACAGAAAATATAAAATTACAGTTTTTACTGTACCTGAAACTTCCTGTTAAATCCGATGCTCCTGGTCTGAGCAAAATCTGAGTTATAAAATTGGCCCCGCGGCTGTTTAAATAAAACAATTAGATTTTCTTTATATACTTTCTAAACAACAGAAACACAACCAGGGTCAGAGTGCTAAAACCGTTACACTAATTCCATAAATGCAACACTGTTTTACAAACACGTCAATTTTATAGAAATTTTAGTTAGTAAAGGATCTGATATTCTCATTTTTGAGGAAACGGGGACTTTTATTCTCTGAATGTGACAGAGAGGACCTATAAAACAATCATTCTTCTAAACTTTAGGTAAGAAAGATAATGGATTTTTAATTCAATTTGCATATTTGCTACCAGTCCTCATTTAGAATTATGACCATCTCTCAGAAAGCAAAAGGAATCAGGGATTTGGAGTTTCCTTTTCAGATTCTAATAAGCATAAGGGATCATGGGTTTCAATCAGGCAACAGGTCAGTCTGCATAATGATGACACTTTTTTTTTAAAAGAAGGTATGCAAGTAGGCATGAGTTTTGGTTTTTGGCAATCTCTGGAAATTGAACAAAATGTTCATTTTGAAACCGTTTCTTTCTACTTGGGCCGCTGTAACTAAATACCACAGACTGCGTGGCTTAAATGAATTTATTTCTCCCAGTTCTGAAGGCTGGGAAGTCCAAGATCAAGGTGCAGCAGACGTGGTTCCTGGTGAGAACCCCCTTCTTGGTGTAGAGGGCTGCCTTCCTGCTGTGTGCTCTCACAGAAGAGGGCATCGAAAGCCAAGCCCTCCGGTCTCTTCTGGAAAGGGCACTAATTCCACCATGAGTGCCCCATGGTCACTAAATTTAATTACTTCCCAAAGGCCCCACCTCCAAATACCAACAATTTGAGGGTAAAGTATTTTAACAAATAAATTTTAGCAGAGACATCCTGGCCCTAACAACGATAAGGTATGTGCTTCAAACAAAACTAAGTATCAGTTTCAAGCTATTACTAATACCAATAATTAACATTTCAAAAAGATCTGAAGTGCCCTTGGAAAAAAGTGACTTTTGTATTACAGCTATTTTAGTGAGCTCTGATTGAGGAAAAAAAAAAGTTTTCTGAGGCAGTCTGGAAAGAACAGTTTTTCTCTGAAGCCAAGGTAACTACCAAGGCCCTCCCTAGAAAAGATTATTTTTACACAGATAACATGGTTAGGGCTATAGCTGGGATAATAGCTTACAAAAACATTTTCCCTTTCAAATTGCTTCCAATAACAAAATTCTAGGACATAGTTTACCTCTCAAAATGGTTTTAATCAAAGGAAAGTGAGCGTATATGTATGTATATATGTGTATGTATACATACACATTTGTACCTCAAATCAGTGAATGTATCTCTAAATTGGGGTTTTTAAATTAAAATGCAGTAAGAGTCAGATGGGCTTGGATTAAAATTCTAGTTCATACAAATGAGTCCATGGGCAAGTGATTATGTAATCTTTCTCAGGAGTATATATTTCAGTCAATGTAGACATTAACAACTAATGACAAACACACCTCAATACAACTTGGGACTCCTTAATTTTAAAGTGGGTGCTGTGATAACCAAATTCAGAGGGCCTGAGAGATTACTCAGTCATTGTTCTCAACACTGGCTGCACAACAGAATCCTCTGGAGAGCCTGTGAAAAATACTGATGGTTCTGCACCACCCGTGGAGATCCATTTGCATGGTCTACAGTGCGTGTGCACACACGAGAAAGGGAAAATGACAGGGAAGAGTAGTGTACGATTTTCTCTCTACGTGATTCCAATATTCGGCAGGATTAAAAACCACTGTTTATCCAACCCCTTCATTTCGCCAAACATTGAGGCTCTTACAGGTCTTAAATGACTTTCCCAAGGTTCCACAGTTAAGAGGCAGAACTGTGATTAACTTAACAAAATCTTCAATAGGAATGAAAAGGGTCATAAAAAACACTAATATTAGTAAATACTTAGTAAATATTAGTAAAGGCATACCTTTACATCTGTAGAGGTATGCTGTCATATATTAAGCAGAAAGCTACATAGATCCCTTATAGATTTTATCTTCTCAACCACCACAAAAAGGTGATACAGATTAAATAAGGTCAGAAATTCTTTGTGAGTCTTCCAATCAAGAAGCGGATTCTCCCTCCCTATCCTTTGATTATGGACCTCTCTCGTGTGTGTGTGTGTGTGTGTGTGTGTACACAAGACTACTCAGTCCCAAAATACAGATAAATAGTTCACTTAAAGCTGAAGGTACAGAATCAATTTTGCTGAATTAGACCATTTCTAACAAAGGTTCAAAGGCTTATGCTGATTTTTCCTTAGTGACAAATATTCAAAATAAAATACTTTAATCATAGGAAAATTTGGACACAAGGAGCTATCTGGGAGTATATACTGGAAGTTAACAATCCGATCCCAGAAATGCCAAGGCAGCACGGTGAGTAATTCAAATACCTGTCATAACCACAGTCCCAGTAGGTACAATAAAGACTAGAGAAACTGTAGCACATGTCTATACCTGATTATTTTTCTTTTCAAATCCCAGCCATATACACCTCCATTTCCTTTGTAGCGAGTTCCAGAGACAATGTCAAAATTACCCTCCTTCTGCTTCCTGAAGAAAAAAAAAACATTAGCTGTCAATTAGAAAAAGCTATTGAGCTTTCAATATTTATTTTCACGAGCTACACAAAATAAACTTTTAAGATTTGCATAGGAAAAACAATGCCAAGAAAACAGATGAACTATACCACCTAAAAATCTTTCAATGTAAGATTTTCAGACCTGGTATTTTTCATTTATTAATTTCTAAAACTAAAAAATAGTAGTACTTGCTGATGGTACCATGTGAAACCATCCTAAAATGTAATCCCCCTCCATTCTGTTCTTGACCCTATTAATAAGTAAACAGTGCTACAACAGCCTGGTAACCCTCCAGACCTTTCTCTTTGCAGAAAAATATAGACAAAGCCCCAGGGATTTCGGTTGCTTTAACAAAATTAGAAACCAAAAAAGTATACTCTGCAACTTGCCTTTCGTCAGTTAATGATATACATAATGGAATCATGGACATCCCTGGAGGTCAACAGAGAATTTCCCCATTTTTTCTAATAGCTGCAAAAATTTCCCATGGAACAATGGACCCGTATACTTGTATGGTTGTTTTCATGGTGGGTCTCCCAACCCCAACACCACAACCACAATGAACAGTGTGACAACGTTCTTATAAACTTACATCCTGGTGCTTATACAACCCAAAGTGGAACATAAAAGAATTGCTAAAACAAAGCTTACAAGTATTTTGAACAGGTATCACCAGAAACTACTTTCCAAGAAGGTTGTAGCAACTCACGCTTCCCCAGCAATATTTGGATGTGTCCACTTCCCGCCATCTTATCCGTGCTAGATGTGTTGCTCTTTAAGTTTGTAATTATGACAAAATAATGGGTAATAAAATACTGCCACAATTATTTCACTTTGTGTTTTCCTGCCAACATCCCAGGGTGTCTTCCCTCGGGCTTCATTGCCATTGGTCTTTCTTCTACATAGGGCTTGTTTCTAGCTTTCACCCATTTTCTATTCCCCTGGTTCCATTTCCTTCTCAGGTCAAAGGGGCTCTTGGGAATTAGATATATAAGCAGAAAGATATCTCTGAGGCGATCTTACGCAGAGATCAAAGGATGAGAATAGCTAGCTATTAAGGAGCAGGGAAAGAGCATTTTAGGCAAAGAACACAGTGCTCCGTGTGACACAGAAATGGAAGGAGCATGCCTGCCGCAGAGCGGGTGGAGAGGAGGGGCACAAGATGAGCTCAGAAAGGGACGCAAGGGTCAGATCACGTAGCTGTTTGAGGGGCAAGGAAAAGTTTCTTTTTAAAGTTTCTCTTTAATGACAACTCACTGAAGTAATCGAAAGAGGAGAGTAACATTACCTAATTCTGTTTTAGTATATTTAGCTTACACTGAAAACAGTTCCCAAATTCTTATTCTGAGAGGTTTCATGTTGTCTTGGATTCTTTTTTTTTTTTTAAGGTTTTATTTATTTGACAGAGAGAGAGTAAGAAAGAGTAAGCATCAGCAAGGGGAGGGGCAGAGGGAGAGGGAGAAGCAGACTCCATACTGAGTAAGGAGCCCGATGTGGGACTCGATCCCAGGACCCTGGGATCATGACCTGAGCCGAAGGCACACACTTAACGACCGAGCCATCAGGTGCCCTTAGATTTTCTAAGAATACAACCATATTGCCTGCAAATAAATACCACTTTGTATCCTTACTTAATATTCATACTAAATTCTTGTTCTTACATCACTTAAAATGTCCACATATAATGACAGCTGGCATGCCTGCCTCAATGTGTTTATTAATGATTCAACATTTCACCATTTAGTAAGATGTCTGTCTTAGGACTGGATTGCCTTTGTCAAATTTAAATGGTTTCTTTTTATTTCTGTTTCCAAGTTTTATTACAAGTGGCTAGTACAGTTTATCAAATACCTTTAAGCACCTACAGACTTAATCATGCTGCTTTCTTTGCTAACATAATAAATTATGTGGATGATTTCCTGAGGATGAACCATTCTGGCATTCTTGGAATAAACCCTACTTGTTCATGGTGTTTTACCCTTATGATGTAGGGCTTAATTCCATTAACATGGACGTCACCTTCCATCTATTCCTGTGGTCTGGGAGAATTTAGAGTCCCTAAAATACATAATTTAGCCACGAATCTATGGCCATGAGGCTCAGATTTGTATGTTGGTTTCATTTCTGACAGCAAACTTAACATAGCATGTGCATTTTTAATTGGTAAAAAATGAAAATAAGTCAAATATTTAAGCAAGATAAATGATTTGAATCACAATTCTTTCAAATATTAAAAATACCTACCTAATGAATTCAGGAATAAATTTTGGCTGAAATTTAGAAAAAATAAACATTAAGTCAGTAAAATAGGCTTAGACTACCACGAATAGCCAAAGAAAGAAAGATAGCACTTACATGGTGTGAGAGATCAGCATCCATAATAATGATGTAGTTTCCTGTGGCATGTTTCATTCCATGAATATATGCAGTTCCTGAAAATGAAAATATACCCACTAAAGAAAACCAGGAGAAACGCTTACATATACATGTGAAATTAAGCACCTGAAAAGCATACACCAGTTCCTTAACGGTGATACTAAACTATAATTAAAATCAGTCAAAAACATCTCTCCATTCCATTCTTTCATCTGCCACTTCACCTTGGTCCCAGGCACCACCTTCTGACGCTCAGCTCTCTCTACCTAAAAGTGTTTCCCTGATTCTGCTCTTCCCAGCACTCCTGGCCCATCTCCACAAAAGCTATCCCAAGTGTAGTCTCCATTGCAAGCTTAGTATACTAGAGGGATCTGGTATTTGGGGTCAAAGACACAGCCAGCAATTACTTAGCTCCCTTCATGCCTAAAAGTCCCCCAGGGACCTGACAGGTAAGGGTAAGTGGGGATTTGGGGAGGCCCACATTCCCTAGTTCCAAACCCCCACAGTATCTTATTAGCAATGGTGAACTCGTCTAACTTCTTTTGCTAAAGAGTGAGGATCACAGCTTTTTGGATTTCCACGGACTCGTAGGAATTCCTGATTGCTTTCATGGCAGTTTCCATTATTTCAATCTCAAAGAACCTCTGGGTTCAGATACTCAGAACACTAGATGATGCCAGAGAAATGGTCTTCAAGACAGCAGCAAATACTCAAATTTTTAAGAACTGTGCTTCCTCCATGCTCTCCCAATTTTTCAGTAAAATTATACTACTTCTTAATCTAAGCAACTATAACCATCCCAGAAATAAAGGTACTGAGATACTCATTTCAGAATGATTAAGTTCATCTAAGATTTTAAAAGCTAGAAAAGTTTTCTTTTTTAAAATTAAAGAGTAACTTTTTACTACTTATAAAGAAATGTTCAAAGATTTATAGCTAACGCAGCATGCTGGTCCAAAACATTTGCCCTCAGATCCCTTTTCTGGCCCTGCTCTACCCTGTTCTACATTGCATGGAACTATAGTTCCCATGTACTCTCCTCAACTGGCGGTCAGATAGCTTCGGGAGGCAGGAGGGATAGTTTCCAGGAGAGAGAAAAGGAAAACTATGTGTCCCCTCTCCTACTCTGCCTCCCAGCACTGACTGGGTATCCTCTATGGCTCTAGCTCCTGCCACGTATCCCCTACTTCATCCTTCCAGCCCCTTCTAAATAGCCTGGGTTCCCGGGCTCCAAAACACCATCTCCCCCTATTGCTGCTCCATTCTAGGGGTGGTAGCAACCTCTCGCCATTACCAGTTTGAGTGGCCTCACTGTTCCATTCCATTTGGCCTCTTAGCATTCCTTCACCTGTGTAACCAGATTCTTAGTATTAAATTCCCTACACTGAAAGGCTGACAGTGGTTTCTGTTTTCCCAAGTGGACCCTGACTGATACGTGCAACTCAAGTTAAACCATATACACATCATTAAGATCATTAAAAAACCATCAGAGGTCACTGTATTTTGGCCTTCTTCCAAATTCGGAAAATACACACTGGGTAAGCTTACCAAGGCGAGAAGCAAGTATGAGGGTCGAGAGGTTCTACTTACCCAGGCCTAACTTTTTCTCCCGTGGTCTTAGAAGCTGCAAGAATAAGAAACAGCATTTTAACACAAATACTAAAAATAATCTAATAAAAATTTTTATAAATGTCTACTTCTTTTAACAAAAATATAGCTGCATTTATTAGACCTTAAAGCAGAGTATGTTTAACATTTTTTGCCACGGTAAAAAAGTGTTTGCTAACAAATCAAATAGCTTAGTAAGTTGGAAAAACAATATTCTTTTAACCCAACTCTGCAGGTCAAATTTTAAGCATTTTTTTTTTCCTGGTGCTATTCACCAGAAAACAGTAGGTAAACAATGTTATATCTATTATTTTATCATTTTGAACAGTAGCTGTTGATTCCTTCTCCTAAAAAAACCGAGGATTTAACTCACTTATCCTATACCTTTGAGTATTTGATAGCCTTATCTGTTTTCTCAATCCCTTTTGTGATTTTATTATTTATTTACATTCTTGATCCACCCCCCCACCCCTGGCTTTTTATTTTTTTCAGTCACAAAAATAATACAGGCTTACGGTTACAAGTCAGACAATATATGGTCATACATTAGTTAAGGCATTCAGGTTAGTTGCAGGTATGTGCCGTTACAAATATTGCTACAATAAAGATACTTGTACATATATCCTTTTGTATATACGGGCCTGTCATTTCTGTAATTAGCATCCCCAAAAGTTGAATCGCAGTGGCTGAAAAGGTATGCATGCTTCTTTCTCTGGATTCCTTGTCTGATTTTAAATGCTGATATCACTCCATCAACTTATCCTGACTTTATGCTTGGAAGACCTCATTACATTCTCTACTGGCCCAATGACATGATTTTAGGGTTACAGGCCTAACAATAAAATTTTTTTTTCTCTTCTTACTTTTTGTCGATCATTTACTCTTTCTACCCTTTTTTCCCCTTCATATATAAAACTTGACTTCAGGTTTAGCTTTTTTTCTTTCGTATGGAGATTTCTGAAAAAAGTAGAATGCCAAGATTTTGACTCTAAGTTTCTGAGGTATGGGGCTCATATGGACTCAATACCAAGCCTATCTACACCCCTTCCACATTTTCCAGTATAAATCTCTTGAAGTATTTTCAGTTTAATTCAACCAGGATAGACTACTTTTTTTTTTTTTTTGTTAAAACTTCATGTGAACTGCTATAGGTCTTGGGGAGGAACAAAGATAAAATGCATTCCTGCTCAATGAACTTTTATATAGAAGAAAACTAGACATTTAATCAATCATGTATACTAATTATAATTCACTGGACAAAATCAAACAAGATATATCAGGTTTTATTTTTGTCACTAATGATTACTGACAAAATACTGACCTGGTATCAGCCCAAAAAAACAAATCCCTTAAAGTTCACCTTAGATTTTCTATAATCCTATGTTTCAGTTGGAAAAATCTTTTTTTCTAAAGTTTTTATAAAATATAAACCATGCTGCATGATAGAGTACTATGGAACAGTTAAAAGAATGAGATAATTTAGCAATAAAAGATCTCTTGGCTACAATTAAAAATAAACAGAATGATACACGGAGATTGCATTTATGATGAAAAACAAAGAATGCCACACTGCCTAGTTTGACAAATAGACACATACACAGGCATGCACAAAGGTCTGAAGCAAGCCACACCAAGCTGCCAGACTGGGGTGTCCCCTGGAAAAGGAACTTGGAGGGGGACCACAAAGGCAACGTCAGTTTTATCAGCAACTTTTTCACTGAAATGCAAGGCTCATGTTTTTTTCCATTTTATTTTTTTAGTTTTTGGCCATTTATAGTTGTGAATTATGTTTTTTTAAAAGATTTTATTTATTTGAGAAAGAGCAAGAGAAAACACAAGTGGCGGGGGGGGGGGGGGGGGGGGGAGAAGCAGCCCCCCTCTGAGGGGGGAGCCCAATGTGAGATCTATCCCAGGACCCTGAGGCTATGACCCAAGCTGAAAGCAGATGCTTAACCAACTGAGCCACCCAGGAGTCCTGAGAATTATGTTTTCGTACATTTGATTAGGGTATTGATTTTTTTTTTTTTTAAGATTCTATTTATTAGAGAGAGAGAGAGAGAATGTACAAGCAGGGGGAACAACAGAGGGAGAGGGAAAAGCAGGCTCCCTACTGAGCAGGGAGCGAGAGGCAGGGCTCAACCCCAGGTCCCCGGGGGTCGTAACTGAGCTGAAGGCAGACGCTTAACCAACTGAGCCACCCAGGTGCCCCAGGGTACTGATCTTTTTGTTAGAGGTAATATTTTGATACTTAGGGATAAACGATATTCTTAAAATAGTCAAATCTTTCAATCCTACAGTTATATTAGATGTTTTTAAAGTAATGAACATGCATTACATTTTATTAAAAGAACAATCTGTAAAAAGACTAACATATGAAATAACATAGGTGACTTAAACTAATCTCTAGTTGGGAGGTTGAAACAGACGGCATACATCAAACATAACAGAAGCACTCAACATGGAAAGGCTGAAGCCCCATCTCCCATCCCTCTGCCCTACAAGCATGGTTAACAGCTCAGGATACGTGCCTCCAATTGTTCTTCAGCCCCACCTCCGCTGTTTGTTAGCTGTGTAACCTTGGAAAGTGCCTTAAACTCTTGTTTCCTCACAGAGTTTAAAGAAAAAAACTTCCTTCATTTTTTGAAACATTCATTTCAGCCACTTTGAAAGACTAGCAAACAAAGCATCTCTGAATATTTCCAGATATTGTAAAATAACTTCAGAAATAATTTGTCTCCATCTTCTATCCCAACAAACCACACACATCACTTCAAAGCAAGTAAGTGCTTTGCTATCCAAGGCATGGCCTGATATTGTCTGGGTTGAGGAGACGGGCAATTTTCTATTTTAAATGATTTAAAGGTCATAAACTAATGAAGGAACAGGGAACTTCCCAGGTAATACAGGAAAATCATAACAGTGAATATAATTTTTTTTCTCATTATTTTGAATTTTATTGGGTCACGTAGTTTTAGAATTTGAAAAGGTCAATTTAATAGACATATTCTACTATCAATCAATTATATCTCAAGGTGGAATCAAGTTCTATGACAAAGGTGTTCAAAATATTGTCAGGTTGATATTCCCAGATTCAATAACAACACATAACTCAGAGTAGTCTATACAGTAACAAATGTGATTAAGTGCCTTGGCTCACTTCTATAAGAAAAACTGAGGAGCTGCTGGCCAAAAAAAATGAACCTGACATCCTCAGAAGTCACTGCTAGAAGGTTGGAAATCTGTCAATTTTTAATCTCCTCCTGTGTATCACAAGATATTTAGACAACTGGAGGTGTGACAGACATTTGAGTTGCCCATGTGTGATATGGAAAGAATTACTAGCACAGAAAAGATTTACCATGTGTGTAAGAATAACACATGTCCCTTAAACTCTTCTACTGACCACCATCTCCTCCAACTGAATAGAAATTATTTCATTATCAGGATTAATGAAGAATGTGTGTACCCGGTGACAGTTTTTTTTTTTTCCCCTAATGCTTAATTACCTTTTCTTAAAATGCAAATATCAATAAAGGTTCTCCAAGAGACTTTTTTAATGTTTATATTGATGGTTCTCTTTTGGGAGGAGAGGACAATTTTGCCCACAAGGGCTCATTTGATGATACCCAGAGACATTTTTGGTTGTCACCTTGGGGAGAGGGGCTGCAAATGGTATCTAGTGGGCAAGAGTCCAGGGATGATGCTAAATGTCCTCTAACATACAGGACACTGCCCCCGCCCCTACACCAACCAACCCAATCCCCCCACCGTGAAGAGTTACTAGGTCCCAAATGTTAATGGTGCCAAGACTGAGAAACTCTTGTCTATACATATTAAAAAATACCCAATGTCTAGAATGTGTTTTCTAATTAAATCTGGACTTAACTGCATGTTTTTGGCCCAAGATTTATCTAAAGTTGAGCTCACAAGTATTTTCAAACATTTACAAAATAAACCATTATAAAAATAAACCAGTGATCAAAAATAAAAATTATAAAGCCATTATAAAATGAATTCTACATCTAAGTTTCTCCAGTAGAAAAACAACACCCTTCAAAGTACAGTGGGAAAATCTAAAATGTAAGACTCCAAAAGTCAATCTCCTCCCAGAAGACCGCTTTATAGGTTAAACAAAAGATGCTAAGTGCTCTGAAAAATAAAAAGATGCCAAATTTCCATGAAAACAATCGTCCACCCAACTATAAGCTTTTATACTTGCAAAAAAGGAAGCCAAAAGATCAAAACATACATTACTATTTGCAATCTAGTTCCATAATATTCCTTGTCAATTCAGGAGCATGCTTTAATTTTGCCCTTCAAGAGAACTTATCTGCAGGTTAAGTTGTAAAAACAGAGTTGATCCAAAGGCCAACTATTAACTTTTTAACACTTACTTTTCTTTTTTTAAGAACTTATTTGAGAGAGAGAGAGAGAGAGCGCGCGCAGAAGCAGGGGGAGCAGCAGGCAGAGGGAGAGGGAGAAGCAGGCTTCCCATTGAGCAAGGAGGCCGATGCAGGGCTCGATCCCAGGACCCTGGGATCATGACCTGAGCCAAAGGCTTAACCAACTGAGTCACCCAGGAATCCCTTGCTGTATGTACAATTACTACTGATCCAACGTATCAAAGGCATGTATAACCTCAAGCACAGTGAAAATGCATCTGAATCTCAAGTGTGTAAGATGCTTTTTATCATTTCAGTTTCTAGAAAAATTGATTGAATTTAAGCACTGTCATTTCTCATTCTTTTCCCTAAACAAACACAAGTGATATGACAGAAAAATGTTCACATGACTTACAATCTTGTCTGACCCATAGATCTTCTCCAACTGTTCAGCAATGTCCCTTGTTCCATCTGGGCTTCCATCATCTATGATTATAATTTCGTAATTGATTCCACTAAAATAAAAAACAAAATTAAAGTTTGTATTGTTTGGAGACAGTATTCTCAAAATAAAAAAAATTTTTTTAATTACTAATTCCTCACCAGTACAAGTGGAAATTTATTGTCACATTAATCACTAAAGGAAACTTCAATTACCAAATGAAATAAATGTCATTTAGTACTTCACCTCCAAACTCAGCATGTTGCCGAAAAATGCTGTAATAAAGTCCTGAGATGTTAAAATAAATTCTCATACAGAAAACATACTCTTCAATTTAAAACAATCACAGCAATTCTATGTTCTATATGATAGGATATTACGAAATTTTACTTACCAACTTTGGAAATGGAATTGTAGGACCTTAATATCAAACCTTGGTTACAAAAAATATTTCAAAAGTACATTTAAAAGATATCTCATGTTGACTGAGTTGCTGAGTGAATATTCTTTTAAATTTAATTCCAAATAGATTTAAGTGACATAAGAAACAAATATGAGTTCATTCCATCTGTTAAAAAACCCTCTTTAAAATGGCAAAATAATCTCTTACACCACTATTTCAAACAGTTGTACCCATTTCGTCACACTATTAAGTACATAAAGCACGGATAATTACATAAGATTTCAATGTGCTTCAAAGTGAACATCTAACGGCTCTCCATTAATTTCATGTTACTGCTCTAGTGTAAAAATAAGCCAACACAATACTTGGTTGTACATGTTATCACTATGTTTTCCCTCACCTCATTTTAGATTTTTTTTTTAAATAATTTTTTGGGGAAACTTAATTGGAAAGTAAAGGAAAGCACAGCAAAACTCCCCTACAACACTGTTTTAAAAACACATATAAGGAGGGGCGCCTGGGTGGCTCAGTGGTTAAAGCCTCTGCCTTCGGCTCAGGTCATGATCTCAGGATCCTGGGATCGAGTCCCACATCAGGCTCTCTGCTCAGCAGGCTCAGCCTGCCTCCTCCTGTCTCTCTCTGCCTGCCTCTCTGCCTACTTGTGATCTGTCTGTCAAATAAATAAAATCTTAAAAAAAAAAAATTAAAAAAAAAAAACCACACATATAAGGAAAAAAACATTCCATTGTAAAAGGCTTAAAAAAGTCAGCCCCGGCATACTAGGAAGAAAGCTAAACTCAGCCTATCTGTTAAGAGGAAATACTAGACTTCAGCTTCCCACAGTGCTTTAATTTTGGCAATTGCTTTACAAGCCAAAATATGTAAGATGTTGATTCTAGCTGATACGCTGAGAAAGATATACTTCAAAAACAAATGAAGTTACTCATTAGCAAATTATACTTTCTCTCACTTCAATGTGCCCAGAACACCTGAGGGTAAGGTAGTTTAAAGGAATCCAGCTAAGGTGCCTTTAATTCGACTATGCCTGAAAAGAAAATCGTTGTTCCCTTCTTGAAGCTTCCCTCCAATTAAAGCAAAAAAATATCTGAGACTCAGAAGACAAACTAAACAAGATCGACCATATGACAATTTCTCTCATGTGGAAAGTGCTTACAGAAACCAAAATAAGATAACTAAAGAAAAGAGGAAAAAGAAATAAATTTTTTAAAAAATGTGAGGAGCCACACACATGATGATATTCAAAGAATTATAGTCAAAACCGCAATGTTTTTCACCAATTAGCATTTCCAAAAATGTAAGTTTAATAAAGCCCGGGTTGGCTTGTTGGGGAAACAAGCACTCTCGGGATAATGTCAGTCCTAAGGTGGTACTATATATATGTATGTATATACACATATATATATACATATTTATCCCGCCATCCCCCAGCATTTTGGTAATAACTGTCAATTTTAAGCACATCTGTTGACCCAGCAATTCCATCCTGAAGACTTTATCCCCAGTACACTAGTAAAAGTACGAGCGTGTCTGTTGCAACATTCTTCCAAAGGAGCATTCACTATGTGTCCAGCATTCTTCTAAATCGTGGAAAACATGGGGTGAACAAAGTCTCTGTTTTCATCTGTAAAGCAAAAGTCAACAAAGAAAAACGAAAAAAGCTCCAGAAATAATCTGCGTTCACGGGGATGACACGACTCGTTAAATTATAAGAGTTATATGGAATATTATCGAATTAAAAAAGATAATTTTCCAAGGTGGTATATGTTGATCTGGAAAGATCTTCAGAGATCTATACATGATCCCATTGGTATAACCCTAAAACAAGTAACTTCGTACTGACACCAAGATATCCCGAAATCTTAAAAAAAAAAAAAAAATTGTGTAACACTTCCAAACGCAAACTCGAAAAGCCCTACTTTCTAACAATCACATCGAACATCCACTAGTGACCAACGAAGTTGCCCGGCCCAGCAGCAGCTCTCGAACCCACAGAGATCAAACCTCATGCTTACATAAGCACTCAGCACGGGGGCGGGAGTGAGCGTGCTCATTGAGACTCCCGGCTCCTGCCGCATCCTGACCATCTAGAAGTAGGAGTGAGGTCAAGCTTTCAACCTCGCTCCAAGTGAGAGAGAAACCAACCCTACTTAAAAAAAAAAAAAAAAAAAAAAAAAGGACAGCGGGGGGGGGGGGGAAGGGGGTGGGGGGGGTGTACAATTAAGAGAATGTCTCACAAAACCCAAGGGCAGGAATGAAAACACAAGACACCGAGAGAATCCCAGAAGTATCCGTTCTGCTTTCTCCAAGGGTGGCCCTCTCCCCAAGTCTTCCCTCAAGAGCCCAAGGAAGGCGGCGCAGGGCCGCCTCGCGCAGCCAACTGCCGACACCCAGGCCGGCTAAGCCAGCTCATCTCATTCCTCAGGGAGGGCGGCCGGACACGTTACCTCTCGGAGAAGCTTTTCACCAGCAGCCATACGATGAGCGGTAGGTTCTCGCGCTCGTTGTAGGTGGGCAAAAGCACTGAATACTTGTCCTGTCCCCGGGCGCGCCCCTCCGACTCCCGCCGAGAACTACGAGGACTATCGCTCGCTTCCTCGGAGGCCATGGCGGAACTGCGCGAGACGCCGGAAACGGAATGACGTCAACGCGCCTCGAGAAGCGGACGGCTCGGACCGTACCAACTTCGGGAAGGGGGGACAGGCCCTGTGGTTGGGTTCTAGGTCTCTTAAGGCTATCTTCGTGGTGCCTAGAAATATCCAGGAACTATGACTCCTGAAAGTTGAATATGAGGGTTTCTCCAGGGAGTACATGTCTACTTATCACTTTTTCCCATGCTCCGTAAAAATTTTTTAGTTTCTTCCAGTCGCTAGGGGACGCTAAGCCGGAAAAGGAAACGCCTTTTAAGACAACTTCCGAGAGTGGCGCCATGGGTTCCAGGGAGGAGGTGCTCGCTTTGCGGGCTGAAGTTGCCCGGCGTGAGGAAGAGCTAAGTTCTCTGAAGCAGAGGCTGGCGGCGGCTCTTTTGGCGGAGCAGGAGCCGGAGGGGCTGGTTCCGGTGTCGCCCCTGCCGCCGAAGGCCGCCCTGACTCGAGATGAGATTTTGCGTTATAGCCGGCAGCTAGTGCTGCCTGAGCTGGGCGTGCACGGACAGCTGCGCTTGGCCACCGCGTCCGTGCTAATCGTGGGCTGCGGTGGGCTCGGCTGCCCGCTGGCGCAGTACCTGGCGGCGGCCGGCGTGGGCCGCCTCGGCCTTGTGGACTACGACGTAGTGGAAGTGAGCAATTTGGCCCGCCAGGTGCTGCATGGCGAGGCGTTGGCGGGGCAAGCCAAGGTCTTCTCGGCCGCCGCCTCGCTGCGCCGCCTCAATTCTGCGGTGGAATGCGTGCCCTACGCTCAGGCGCTTACGGCAGCCACCGCGCTGGACTTAATCCGCCGCTATGACGTGGTGGCCGACTGTTCTGACAACGTGCCCACTCGCTACCTGGTTAATGACGCTTGTGTGCTAGCCGGCCGACCTCTCGTGTCGGCCAGCGCCCTGCGCTTTGAGGGCCAAATCACAGTGTACCACTATGACGGCGGGCCTTGCTATCGCTGCATATTCCCCCAACCACCTCCAGCGGAGACGGTGACCAACTGCGCGGATGGCGGGGTGCTCGGTGTCGTAACCGGGGTCCTGGGCTGTTTGCAGGCGTTGGAAGTGTTGAAGATCGTAGCAGGTCTGGGTCCGTCTTACTGTCGCAGCTTGTTGATCTTTGATGCCCTCAGAGGACAGTTTCGTTGTATTCGGCTTCGGAGCCGCAGGCCTGATTGTGCAGCTTGCGGCGAGCGGCCCACTGTGACAGACCTGCAGGACTACGAAGCCTTCTGTGGCTCCTCAGCCACTGAGAAGTGCCGCTCTCTGCACTTGCTGAGCCCAGAGGAGCGAGTTTCGGTCACCGACTATAAGCGTCTTCTGGATTCAGGCTCCCCCCATCTGTTGCTGGACGTCAGGCCTCAAGTGGAGGTGGACATCTGTCGTTTGCCTCATGCCTTACACATCCCTTTGAAACATTTGGAACGGAGGGATGCAGAGAGCTTAGAACTCCTAGGAGAAGCAATCCGGGAAGGGAAGCAGGGCACACAGGAAGGGGCGGCTTTCCCAGTTTATGTGATTTGCAAACTGGGCAATGACTCCCAGAAAGCCGTGAAGGTCCTGCAGTCCTTGACGGCGGTTCAGGAATTAGAATCTTCAACCATTCAGGATGTTGTTGGGGGTCTCATGGCCTGGGCTGCCAAAATCGATGGAACATTTCCGCAGTACTGAGGTGGATGGGAGATCCTGACCTGAGGCAGATGTGGACTGCCATGTTACCCAAAAGATACATTTATTTGAGTTTTTTCTAGGAATGTATGGGAGAGATGGGGATTGTCCAAAAACTGAGTACATTGGACCCCTTTTTGTAAGGGGCTTTTTTGTTATAATGCATTGGATGCTCTTCTTATTAACGGGTTGTAATACTGTTTCTGAGAACTGTCTTGTGTTTCCAGCACTTGGAAGATGCCTTGAACATGTGAATTACAGTGTTAAGTGACAGGATTCTGTGTTTTGACTGATCATTTCTCTGTTCTGCTTTTTTCCCACCTCCCCCAATCAAAAAATACTTTAAATTGTCATTTTAATGCTTGGAAAGCTGTAGTAAACTTAGTCTCCCTGAATTGATCACAGATGATATACTTGAGGTCAGTATATTGTTTGCCAAGACATTGTTTGGGTCTTCAATTTCAAATGATAGACTATGTTCCACAGAAATGTTTAAAATGTAAGTTATTTTAATTATCTGGGAAAGGGTCATTCTATTAAATATTTGAATTAATAGCAAAGTGAGATATTTAGTAAGATAAAGGAAACCACCTTTGTAGTCTCAGTTTCTCTTATAAATTGCCGATTTAAAAAATTCTTACAGTTTTGTACACACTGTGTACCGTGGTTTGGCTTGCTTTGGAATCTTCAAGCCCAGGTCCCAAACTTCTGCCCTCTCCTGCCCTTTATTCCTTACCCAATCTGTTATTTTTTTTTTTTTTCTTGCTTTACTGGCCAAGTACACCAAATACAGTATTGAATTAAAGTGGCATAGTGAGCATTGTTATTTCCTTCACAATCTCAGGTGAAAAACTGACTATTTGACCAATATGACTTGTTGTTGCTTTACTGTAGCTATTGCCTTTTATCAGATTAAAGAAAATTTCCTTCCTTTTATAGTTTGCTAAGTTTTCGTTGAATTCATCAAATGCTTTTTTTGCATTATTATGTGCTGCTTTTTTCTCTTTGGTTAATGCAGTGGATTACATTGATTCTCTTTGGTGGCAACACACACACACACACACACACACACACACAATTTCCCCTCTCAGTAACTTCCAAGTGTACAATACGGTGTTGTCAACCACATGCACATGGTATACAGCAGTTTCCAGAATCCCTTGTCCTGCATGGCTAAAACTTGACACCCACCAAACCACTCCCCATTTCTGCCCTTCAGCTTGCCTCTTCTATTTTGATTTAATCTATTTTACTCCCATATTTTTTAGTAGTACAAAATGTAGGTGTTTTTATGTTTATTGATTAGACAACGTTTTCATGAAATGGCAGGTTTGCATAACTTTTATACAAAATGAAAAGCAAAGATTTGGTCGATATCTGTGGCAAGTTGAAGAAGGCCTACCGTGTCAAGAGGGCCTCTGCTCTCCAGCTGATTGTTGCGTCCAGGTCTATAATCCTCAGAAATCACAGATATAAATGTGAAATCTTTGTATCTTTGGCTACAATTTTTTTTAAGTTCAGCGGCTTGTGGACTATACAAAAACCCTTGCAGGTCAGATTTCCTCGGTTTGTAACCTCTGATAGAGACTCCTTTTTTTTTTTTAATCATAAAATGGTGGTATTATTTAATAATCAAATTCAAAATTAGGATAGTCCTTAACCTTTTAACTGTGAAACACTGTAACCCATGTTTTGAATGGGCATGCCTCAACCTTTGTTGTAAAGACGGAGCAAGTTTGTGACTGTTTTTCCCAAGGAGTTGTGGAAATAAATGATCAAGACCAGTGAGTAAAGATGGCTGGCCTGTGTCTTACTGTCACTTCCAGGACAAAAACTGTGCTGGATTCATACCAAGAAATAAAGTGGACAGATAAGGGAACTATTTCCTACTCTAAGGACTGGTATCCTAAAGTTGAACAGTTTTGGTAGTTCCTGCAAACTTGGTTCTCAATAGGACAGGCAACAGAAGACAACTCTGGCTGCTTAAGTGGGAAAGGGGCTTATTAAAGTGAGATGAGGTGCTTCCAAGAATTTTGGGGATAGCCTTAAAGCTATAATTCCAGGAGTGATTCCCCAAACCACGCACAGAACTGACCTCAGAATACATTCTATGCTGTGCTGCCCCATCTAGCCCTTGAGGAAACTGCTAGCATAGCCTCACTGTTCTCCCAGGAAGCCCAGCACGTCAGTCACGGCTCAGGGGACAGAATCGCTTTACATCGATTGCTCTTCTGAATCAGTCTTCTGAGGTGTGTCTGGTAGGGAGAGCCTAGTCTCAGTGCCTCCATCCTCACTACAAAAGCAGCTGTGAATTCGAGTCTTGCCGTCTACAGTCGGGAAACAGAACCCAATCTGGCTATTTCTCAAACTCGTGAAAGATTTTTTTCAAAAGTTGGTCTGTTAATATGACCGGTATCTGTTACAGGATCCGGATTCTTTTATTCTTTGGAACTTTGTTTTCTCTGGGGATTGTGACCAGTTTTTCTACATTCAGATGGGATTTTTAACTTGATATTTTTTCCTTTTTATTTAGCAAACATCAAGTGTACCAGTTACTATTCTAAACTCAGATAAAAATGAAGAAGAGATTTTCTTTTTCAGACTTTACATGTAAATGAGAGGAGACAAATCAACAAATCAGTGTTAAGTGTCATAAAAAAAATGAAACCAATGTATTGGGGTGGAGGTCTATTTTGGATAGATTAATTAGAGGAAAGCTCCTTGCAGACGGGTTGATGTGAAACCCAGACCCTAATGGGTGATAAGGAGCCAGCTCAATTTGGGAGAACCTCCCTGATTGGGAGGAAAACAAGTGGAAAGACCCTGAGGCAAATAAACTTCTAAGTTTATAAGTTCGAGAAACTGAAGAGGCAAGTGGGTTGTGGACAGTTGAGGCAAGTGGAGCAAGGTGAGGTTTATGAAGATTGGGAACACATCAAGAGTAGGTTGTAGACCAGAAGTTTGGTTTTTATTCCAAGTAAAATAATAGCTAACATTTACTGGGTACTTAATATGTGATTAGGAACTCGAACCCAGATGGTCTGGCTGGAGAGCCCGTGTTCTAAGCAATACGCTATACTGACTCCCAGCGGGAACTTTGTACTTGTTTTATACGGTTTCACTTTTGAAAAACAATCCATGCCCTAAGCATCAGGTTGGAAAGAGCTCGGATTTCAGACACAGAAGTAAATGTACTCCGACTCACTTGGCTTGCAGGCTTCTCTCTAGGGAAGGAAACCCAGATTGAAATCCTTGGGAGCCCTCTGACACCAATGTGTTACCTAGGTAATGTCCAGTTAATAATGAGTCACTTTGGTCAAGGAAATTGAGAAATAAGGTCTCAACGTGAGCCACAGCTGGTAAATAGAAGGGTTACCAAGGAAGGGGGTCAAAAAAGGGCAGGAAGTCTCCTGAGACTGTTCCCGTGGGAGAGGAGCAATTTTTTTTTTTCCAAGGGTGTTTATTTTTAATTAGCTGCTCCCTCTCACGGCAGCAGAGGGGCCCCTCAGAGCCCAAATTCAGGTACGCAGCCCAGTTTGCTCTACCCAGGAGAGAATTTTTTTGCTTTTATACGTTGAGTCTTAGGATTCCATATGTAACATGAGGTAGCCCTATCTGGGTTAAGAATAAAATCTCTTCGTTTGAAATCATGCACCCGCCTTCAGATTCAGGATAATCCTGGAGTCAGTTTGGAATATTAGGAAAGCAATGTTGCAGGGGTGGTTAAGTGTTTTGCAAACAAAATGGGTTAATTTATGCTTTCCATGTACTATAATCTCTGAGGCACTCAGGATGTGAGAGAAAAGCTAATGAAACCAGCCCAGAATTGGGGTGATAAACAGGATATCATTTACTATGAAGTTCTAAGTAGTGATACTGATTCTGGCTTTTAATCATTGCAGAAAATCTGTGTGTAAGTGGACCCGCACAGTTCTAACCCATGTTGCTCGATGGTCTGCTGTACACATAGACTGTGTCTTCCTTTCCACTCCTAACTACTCTCAGTTCCTTCCCCCAGAGACCATCTCTGTAAGCAATCTTGGTGTGTTCCTACACACACCTTTTTGTGCCTATACTTTTTAAATACAAAGGGTAGTTACACTGTTTCTATGTTTCTTTTTTTAAAGATTTTATTTATTTATTTGAGAGACAGAGACAGTGAGAGAGAGCATGAGCAGGGAGCAGAGGGAGATGCAGGCTCCCTTCTGAGCAGGGAGCCCAACACGGGGCTGGATCCTGAGATCATGATCTGAGCTGAAGGCAGACACTTAATGGACTGAGCCACCTAGGCCCCCCCGTATACTTCGTTTTTTTGTTTGTTTTTTCTTTAGAGAGAGAGTGAGCACACCCTGGGAGGGAAGAGTCAGAAGGAGAGGGAGAGAGATAATCTCAAGCCGGCTCCATGTCCAGCACAGAGCCCGATGCAGGGCTCAATCTCACAACACGAGATCATGACCTGAGCCAAAATCAAGAATCAGATGCTCAACCAACTGAGCAACCCAGAGGCCCCTGTACTTTGTTTTTTAAAAAAGTATTTATATATTGGCCACTTTGTTCTCTTCTGACATAGACCAGCCTCATGCTGTTTATCCAACATTTAGAACACCATCATATACGTGCCCTGGAATTTCTTTAACCAGTTCCCCCACTGAAGGACATTCAGGATTTTTTTTTAAGATTTTGATTATTTATTTGACAGAGTTCACAAGTAGGCAGAGAGAGACAGACAGAGAGAGAGAGAGAGAGAGAGTGGGAAGCAGGCTCCCTGCTGAGCAGAGAGCCTGATGTGGGGCTCGATCCCAGGACCCTGAGATCACGACCTGAGCCGAAAGCAGAGGCAACCCACTGAGCCACCCAGGCACCCTATTTCAGGATATTTATAGTCTTTCTGCTATTAGTAATAGTGCTTCCAAGAATATCTTGGTATTTGTATCTTTGTACAAATACATTGAACAAATAATCTAGAGCTTACTATGTACTTCAGAATCTGTGAATGTGACCTTGTATATGGAAATGGAGTCTTGCCAGATGGCATTAACCTAAGGATCCTGGAATGAAATTATGCCAGATAGATGTTGGGCCCTAAGTCCTATGACTGGTGTCCTTAGAAGAGCAAAGGGAGGGAGATGTCAGACACAGAGGCACACGGAGGGGCAGTCCCTGTGGAGGGGGAGGCAGAGATTGGCATCATCCCGCCACAGGACAAAGAACACTGAGTCTCTGGCAGCCACCAGAAGCTGGGACACAGGCCTGGAAGAGGTTCTCCGTCAGAGCCTCCGGTGGGAACCCACCCTGCCCACACCTTGCAATGCATTTTGGGCCTCCAGAGCTACAAGGATAAAATCCGTTTTTAAAACCACTGAAATTGGGCACCCAGATGGCTCAGTTGGTTAAGCGACTGCCTTCTGCTCAGGTCATGATCCCAGAGTCTCTGGATCAAGTCCAGCATCGGGATCCCGGATCAGCAGGGAGCCTGCTTCTCCCTCTCCTCCCTGCTCCTGCCGTCTCTCACTATCTCTGTCTCTCTCACTCTCTCCAATAAATAAATGAACAGATCTTCAAAAACCCACTAAATTCATGATAACTGGTTACATCCATCCTAGGAAACTGATGGAAACTCCATCCAAGTTGTTTCATTGCTGAGTGGGCTCCACCGCACCCATGGTACAGTGGCTCATTTAATCATAGGGTTATTTCCAGTCTGGGGATGGTAAGGCAGAAAGCTGCTATGAACATAAATAGATTTATTCTTTTAAATAAATTTTGCTTTCATTTTTCAAGATAAAGCCCTGGTCAAATTTCTTCCCCTCCATTATTGACTCCGGAATGTGGGTCTCCCTTTTAAGCAGACTTGCTATCAACAACCCTTTTCTGGTGCTAACCATTCTCGCCCAGCCAGGGCCTGCTGTCTTTAGCTCATCTGACTCTAAGAATTGCA